CCCCAAAACCCCAAAACCCCAAAACCCCGTGTGGTATAAATAATATTGAATTTAAATGAGGAAAGAGACCAAGGTGAATCCAAGTAAATCTCGGTTCGCACCAACAAGATGAATATCTCCTTTTATGGACAGAAGGATGGTCGAAGAAAATGAAATAGCTTTAGTGCAAACCCATTGGTAGTAATTATTTTATTTTTTGTGTTACAAACTAGTTTTCAAATCTTTATTAATTATTATCTCTATTCATATCAAATCGCTTTGTGTCTGCTTATATCCAAAATTTTGTATTTAAATTCAGGAAATCTTAGTTTTATGCATATTTACTAATTTTATAGAAAGAGAGGTTCACAAAAGTAAGTGACAATTTTGATAATAATATAGACGCTCAAAATGATGCAAATTGTGAAGTATAATGTGCTGTAAATGAAAGCCTATTTATCCGAATAATAAATATAAGATTAAATGGGACATTCTCATTATATGCCTGATTATTTGGAACTGAACATATACACCCTTTCAATTCTCTTATCTCAACAACACACCGAGTATTGTCTTGATAGAAATTTTTGAAAGAGTATTTGATCTTTTATTTTTGATTGATTTCTACATCAATTTTAGAACTGTTTATTTCTTGAGTTCTACGGGAGAGCCTGTTGTAAATCCGAAGTCTATTGCATTAAATTATCTATGAAGCTTAAGATTCATAATAGATCTATCTGCTTCTATTCCTATTGAGCTGTTACTCATATATACAAGTGAATCATCAAAAGAGTTTGGCTTCTTAAGATTACTAAAGCTTGCTAAACTCTTTAGGTTTGGAAAACTCCTTGCATATCTTACTGTTGAGAGTAAGATTAAACTAAGTTTCAAGATTGGAGAAATTCTGTTCTTTCTCATACTTGCTACACACTGGTGAAACTGATATTGGTATTCTATTGTAAGGATTGAACAAACCTGGATCCCTCCAAAAGATCAGGATAATGATGGAACAGTCCTGTACACAGAAAATAACGTATTCTCAGAGTATTTTTTAATCTATTATTACTCTTTGACTAGTCTTATTGGTGCTGATTTGCTCCCCTCAACTTTTACAGAGCTATACTCTGGAATTCTACTGTATATTTTGGGCCCAATTATGTTCGGAATACTTATCGGTAATTTCTCGAATATATTATACGATTTTACAAAGGCAGAGAGAGAAAGTATGGAAGTCCTTGACATGATTACTCAAACTATGTTTTCTCTAAGGCTACCAATTGATATGCAGAACAGAGTCAGTGACTTCTTTGACATTGTGACTCAGTCCAGAATGGAGTATAACAAATAAAGCTTTTAAGAGTCTGAACCATGCTTTATCAAACAAGATCTTGGTTACACAGTGATCGAATACATTCTCACAGTTTTGGGAGAAGGGGACTCCTCAAGAGAGAAATATAAGAAAAATAGCAGGATATTTAGAAATCAGCCATTTCCAAATGGGTGATATTATACTCAAACAAGGGGAAAAAGGAGGCAAAGTCTTCTTTATTATTGACGGATTAACAGAAATCTTACTGGAGAATGAAGATTTTCAATATTACCAGCAGAAATAACGTTGATAATTTTTATGTCAGGAACTCGGGTAGGAATTGCTTAATGATAAAATTTAGTGACTTCAAGAGCCTCAGCTGATAAAAATAGTGTTAACTGGAGAAAGAAAGATACTGTCAGAGAGGTGAAGGATATTAATGTAGATGATGAAGACAGTTTTCAGAATTTGTTCAAGGATGATAAAGGATATCAAAATGAGAGTGAAGACTGGAGTGATATCAGTCAAATGTCTGACAGAAAAACTAAGTATTTTTAGGGATAACTTTTAGGTCTAAAGAAAATTCAAATAATCATGAAGACAATCAAAGCCAACTTAGTGAAGGCGCTGAGCAAGTCTTGCATGAATTTGAGAATTTCAAAGTTGTGAATGAGTGACAAGAAGGAGACTTCTTCGGAGAAATTTCCTGAATCACCAAATATCTTCCTGTGACATGCACTGTCAGAGCAGTAAAGACAACATGATGAGGTGTGATTGGTAAATAAGCATGCGAGCTTGGTTAAGGATATCATTTACCAAAGAATGTACTCTTACAAAGATGCTAATTTTCAGAACTGGCATAAGACAATTAAGAATATTCCCTTATTGAAAAGACTCCAGTTTGACTCTTGCAGAACTTTATGTCTTCATTTTAAGAGAGTGAGATTTCCTAAAGGAACTGTATTACTAAATTTTGGAGAAATCAATCCCAATACCTTCTTCCTCACTAAGGGAGAGGTGGGAGTTTATGTACATAATAAACTAGGAAAGCGAGAGCAATTAGGCGATGAGATAGATATTTGTGAAGCAAAATTTCAACATCTCAAAGAATCTGCCTCTTTTAATTTTGTATGATCTTATCTTGAACATGAAAGTCTGTTCACTATTAAAGTAGAGGAGGATGCTGAAATCATGCTTCTTCACAGATCTGATCTTATTGAAATCTCATTAGTTGATATTGAACTCTTGCATATTTTAGATAGGGTCTCAACAAAATATCAATACACTGGGTGAAAATACGATTATTATGTTCATAGAAATTTATTGAGACAAAGACAGGCTGAGGAGGTAAAGGAGGATCCAAGGAAGCCTCCAATTCCATGATTCAATTCCACTAACTTAGACAAAAAGACAACCATCAACGGCCAAAGTTATGTTTAGACAAATGTCAAAGGACCAGAGAAGAATGATGAAGCGAAAGACAGTGAACATTGATTGGTCAGCTATTTCAAACTTGTCTAAATATCCTAAATGGAAATAAGTTTATATAAGCAGACTTGATACCAGACGTTTGATAATAAAAATAAACCAAGCATGGAGTTTGTTCTTAATTATTGATATTTTTCATTTCCAAAGAATGTGTAGAAATATCGTGCAGAATCAAAATTCACAGGTAGGTTATCAGCTCACTTTATAGCTATTCCATCTGTCTAAGATGAAGAAGCAATGCAAATAACAATTTTTATGAAGGGAAAGAAGATGTTGATCTGGTTAATTTATGACACACATTTGGACTCTATGCCAGAGATTCTTACTTTCAATTTGTGTCACACAAAAAGAAATAAGTTCCAGAAGTAGGATGTAGTCATTTATCTTTAGTGAACTGATAGATAACGTCCTTAAGCAAGCACAGGCTATTTTTAAATTCTTGAATAGAGCTCATATTGAGCGTATTTCTAGCATGATCTCAATTTATGGAAACGAAAATTTGAAGCAGCAGACACAAACTGTTTTAAAGTAGGATACTAGATTTGAAGTTATAGACCACCTCAAAAGATGAGGAGACCTAATAAAATGGGGTCATTAAAACTCATACATACCTTCTCTCTTTCTGCGAAGAAGCTCAGAAATGAACAGCAATGACCCAAGTAATTGCCACTTATAATCTTTAGAAATGTGGATGCTCTTGGGAAAATAAGTGAAGAGCCAAAAGATATGTCAATGTAATTTCTATCTTATCCCTAGATGTAGAAATTCACCAGAACCTCTTCCTTTGATAAAGTCACAAACATTACATATTCCATTAGAGTTAAATAAAGAAAGGATAATGAGAGCTCTTTTTAAAGAGTATTATAAAAGCAGCTCTACACTCGAGAGTCTCATCTCAATGAATTTTGATAGATTTACAGATCTTCTTTCAGAAATTATTAATAACAAGAAGATTGACAAGATCGAGCCAGTAGTTGTAGAGCAGAAGAAGAAAAGACTTAACCTTGATTTGCTTTCAGAAGAGGTAGAGATATCCCAAGAAATCAAATCTATCAGCCAAGATAGTGATAGAGAACCTCCTAGTCCTGATAAAGTATTATCATCTGCAAGTAATCAAGACAGTTCTGATTCCAAAAATGGCAGTTTAAATATGTAAATCCTAGCTTTCATCCTATAGGTCCTCTACGAACAAAATTATAAACTTTTATCCTCGAGAAGCGAACAAAGAGAATCAGACAGAAGAATCTCTTGAATGGCAAGATGCTGATTAGACATTTGTACTGATTTAATCTTTATTTTTCAATATCCCTCTCTAGCTTAGGGGTTTTGGGGTTTTGGGGTTTTGGGGTTTTGGGG